CTTCTGGCTCTCTGACCTGGTTGGGTTAAGATGCTGCCTCTCTTCAGAAAGTAAGGGCCTTGGCAGACTGTCAGAAATAGTGCAAATTGAGTCCACTTTAAGGGTTAGGGTTAGTGCTAGGGAATCATGGGAATTGGTTTTTTTTTCCTGAGACATTGAGCCTTCTCTGTCAGAGAGCTCTGGTGCCACAATAAAATACAGTTCCCATGATTCCCTAACCCTTAAAGTGGACTCAATTTGCACTATTTCTAGCAGTCTGCAAAGGCCCTAACTTCCCTACCGAAGCTGAGGAAGGTTGACCTCCTTTCTGGAAAGCATGTTAGACCCACACTCCCCAGACCAGGGGTATAAAGCCTGTTCTTCTTCAAGGTGATTTCTCATCAATATTTTTGCAAAGGGATCTTGTAGCACCTTTGAGACTAACAGAAAGAAGCTGGGAGCATGAACTTTCCTAGACTTGAGCCTACTTCCTCAGATGCATCTGTAGGCTCAAGACTTAGGGCCTAAGCAGACTGCCAGAAATAGTGCACATTAAATTGAGGCACTGCCCTGGCTCAGTGCTAGGGATTCATGGGAACTGTAATTTATTGTGGCACCAGAGCTCTCTGACAGAGAAGGTTCAATGTTTCAGAAAAAAATACAATTCCCATGATTCCCTAGCACTGAGCCAGGGTAGTGCCTCAATTTAATGTGCACTATTTCTGGCAGTCTGCTTAGGTAGTAAGAAAGCTTGTGCCACTAGCTTCTTTCTTTCATTTATGTCTCAAAGCTGCTACAAGATCCCTTTGCATACTCATTTTCCAGACAAACACAGCTAAGTATTTGAATTTTACACTGTTTAAACACAGTTTAAAGACCCCTTCCGGACTCACTCCACCCTCCATGAATCGGAAAAAAAATCACAAATATCCAAGTCCTATTGGATATAATGGCTGCATGCTCCCGTGCCATATTTTCCCTCCTGGTTTCCTGTCTGCGGAAATTGAAGACTTCAAACTGGAAGTTTGTGAATGAGGAGGACTGACTGTATTTCACAAATGTTATTGCAGTGATCTTTTCTACAATACTGAACTGAGATTTCAATTAGAAATTCTTTTGGCACCTTTGAGACTAATTGAAAGAAAGAAACTAGGAGCATGAGTTTTCGTCCGTTCTCTCCACCAAATGCATCTGAGGATGTAGGCTGAAGCCTATGAAAGCCAGGCTCCCCACATCTTTTTTTCACTTAGTCTCAAAGGTACTATCCAATCCCTTTGCCTACTGATTTTTCAAATAAACATGGCTATGCCCTTGAATTTTCTCATCATCTTTGTTGTTGTGGTGGTGGTTGTGTGTAAATGTGGCAACCAACAAACTTGTATTGGTCCCCCATTCCAAACATTGTTGTTGCTGTGTACCTTCAAGTTGTTTCTGACCTATGGCACCCCTAAGGCCAACCTATCACAGGTTTTCTGAGGTTGTGTGACTTGCTCAAGGTCACCCAATGGGTTCCATGTCTGAACAAGGATTTGAACCCTGGTCTCTAGAGTTGTAGTCCAGCACTCAAACCCCTATGCTATGCTGCCCCCTTTCTCATCATCTCCCCACCCCAAAGTAGTACATCATCATGGCAGAGAAATGCTGGTCATGGTTTACACAACCACCAAAGATTTGTGGTGCTTGTTTTGGGCAAAGGCACAATCATCCCATTCATTTATCACTTTCTGGTTTCTGAGTCCTGTTCTTTTGCACATTATATTCTAGCATCCTCTCCTGTTCACCTTTGTTTAGTTTTTTTTTGCTACATTCTTTTTGCAGATTTAATATTTAGTTCCAAATTGCAGAGCCACGTCTGTTTTGAGGATTTTGCCATTTTGCGTCAAGACGCCTGGGCTATGAGAAGGATTTAATTAGAGTTTTTGGAGTGGACTGGATGTTACAACATCAAGGAGCCCATTTTACCTGTGTTCCCTGTTGAACTTAGCCCTGTAGTAACAAAACGAGTAACTCACTTGCAGCACGGCCTAGAATGTCCTGTTGTTCCTGTGCAGGCAGTTTGTGGATTGGGGCTATGCAGTTATCTAGTTAATCTCTCAAGAGAGTCACTCCCTAATGAGGAATTTTTGTGTAGAAATACAGTGTGGTCTTATATCTGGGGTAGCTGTGTTGGCCATGTAGCAAAGAACAGTAGCATCCAAAATCCACAAAACAACAATATCTTTATTAGGCTAGCCAAAATGCACAAAATATATGTTGTAAGCTTTCGAAGCGCCACTGTTTTCTTCATCTGACAAAGGTATTAAAAATCAAATTATAGAAAGAAAACTATGACAGTGTTATTAGAGTAGTCCTCCTTCTGGCCATGTGGGGTGCTGGGAGACAAAGGGGGGTTGCAGACTGCCAGAAATGGTGCAAATTGAGTTCACTTTTAGGGTTAGGGTTAGTGCTAGGGAATCACGGGAATTGTTTTTTTTCTGAGACATTGAGCCTTCTCTGTCAGAGAGCTCTGGTGCCACAATAAAATACAGTTCCCATGATTCCCTAACCCTATAAGTGGACTCAGTTTGCACTATTTCTGGCAGTCTGCAGCCCCTCATAGAGTAGTAAAGTTCAGGAAATAAAATTTAAACTCCATTTTAATGAAATAAATAGTTTGATACAAAAGATACTTTGAGATCCAGGTTGCCTCTGTTCCTTGTGAGGCTACCAGCCCCTTGTTAGGCAGAGAACATTGAATTTCTCAAGAAGCCTCAGTGGTCTTAATGTATTTGCTTCCATTGTTGGCCTTAGGATAATTTTCTGTAAGTGTAGATTTGAAGTTGTATGTAGATATATTGGTGACTAATATATGATGATGTTGACATGCACATAAGTTGTTTTGTCAAATGAAAACCATAATATTTCCTGCTGATGCAGAAATGGAAAGGCAGAGTTGTGTAGAAATTGCCACAATTTATCCAATGCTTTCCGAAATGTGTTGTAAGGTGCTTTAAAAAAATTAGCATGTATTTTAGATATAATAGTAGTAATAATAATAATAATAATAATAATAGTTATTATTATTATTATTTATATCCCACACTTCTGCAGAGCAACATTAAAATTTCCATACAGATATGTTAATACAATGTAAACAGAACCTAAAAATTCCGAAACCCACCTGCCCCTTAAAAAGTAAGGGTTCTTCTTCTTAGTCTAGGCCTGATGGAGCTGGGCCTGCATCTCTCCCCCAGATGATGTCGAATGGAGTGGAGGGATGATGTTAAGATTACAGGCAAAACTAGTGGGGATTCTTTTAATTCATGATTTTCTGTCTTGTGATTGGCAAATGGCACTTATTTCTACTTGTGATGCATTAATATGCAGTAGTTGGAAGGAATAACCCATGTGTGCAGTGGTTTACTTGTTGGTCTATGACTCTGGGGACCAGGGTTGGAATCCCCACTGAGCCATGAAGCCCACTGGGTGACCATGAGCAAGTCATACTCTCTCAGCCTGAGAAGGGTAATTGTAAAGCCCCTGTGAAGAAATTTGCCAGGAAAACCTCTGCCTTACAGACGCCATAAGTTGAAAATGACTTGAAGGCATACAACAACAAATAGTACTTGTGTACATTTCATTTTTTTCTGTTTAACAACTAGACCAATGGTATTAATAAATTGTTAATAAATTAATAAATTGTATAAAATTGCTCCTTCAATACAAAATTAGTATTAGAGAACTATGAGTAGCTATAAATTCTTTGTTCTTTTGTATAGTTTTTCCCCATAAACATGGATTAGGGGTGAAATAAGTGTATCTACTACTGCTACAACTCTTAAATGAACTAAAGTTAATTAAGTAATTACCACATTTTATTTCCTGAGCATTCTCCTGAAATAAATAGTTTGATCATGCCTTAAACTTTGAGGGCACATCATTTTTGGGGCCAGTCTCTTCTCTGTATGGAACCTAGTGGTTCTTGAGGCTTAGAAGTCATAAACACAACTTCTACAGCTTCCTTTTCTTGTGTTGTTCTTGAAGCGTGCTAATCTGCTGTTTTAAATTCATTCTCTTATCTATAATTGAAGCAGTCTCCCCCCCCCCCCACACACACTTTGCCTGAAATGATCTGAGAGACAGTTGGAATGTAAAGAAAGCACTGGACTCAAACCAGCTTGGTTTCAGGTAACAGCTCAGACATGAAACTCACTTATCTGACTGAGGGCCTCGGCAGACGTCTTCGAGGCCTGGAAGAGGAGGGGCAGCCGCACGAGCGGCGCCCCTTCCTCCTCCTGAGGTTGCCCTTGGAGCTGCCGGCTGTCCACACAGACAGCGCTCCCAGGGCAGCCTCCTGCCACAGCGACCGCACGCGCTGCGGCGGAAAAGTCAGGGAAAGTGCGCCCTACGCGTTTAGGGCGCACTTTCCTTGTCTTCCGAAAGGAGCGCTATTTTTGCGCTCCTTTCAGGGAAGCTGTCGGTGCGCCGCGGTGCGGCTGCCATGGCCCCGCGGCGCACCGGCTCAGGGCGTCTCAGACACCCTGGTGTGCTTCCCCCCTTAGTCCCTCTCATCATGCTTCGGCCTAATTTATCTCCCAACATTGGGGAGAAGAGCAAGTTGTGAGGGTTCATGGGAAAAGGATAGGACACAGGTGCAAAAATAATTAAACAGTACAGTGTCGCAGGATTGTATGAGCCACTGTGCCATCAGACATGTAATACTGCTGCTGTGGCTCAAAGAATTGCATTATTATGCAAAATCTTGGACAGAAGTTCTTCTTGCAATAGTTACTGCAGTGCTGTCTCATTTTACCCATGAGATGCAGGTGCTGAGATCTAATCTTCAGAATTTGAACCCAGATCCATGCCCTGTTGAGGACCTTCAGACAAAATTGGTTCTTCTATTACTTGGTATTTTCTTGCATCCATTCAGACTGTGGAGCTTGGGGAAAATGCATCTATCAACAATGGTAGTCAGGACCTAAGTAGCTGCGGTTTATGAATCTGCTGAGATTAAATTGAGCTTTTATGATATTTTATAAATCTTGTTTTAATGTGCTGTGTTGTAACCTGCAATGAGCTTTTGGGAGAGGGCAGGATAACAAATCTTTAATAATATTGCTTGGGGGAACTATTGTCTCTTTACTCAAATATAAAGTCTCTGGACACAACAGAATGGTAAATGTCCTATCTGTGGTGCAGTGGTTTGAGTGCTGGACTAGGATTCCTGGAGGTGAGGGTTTGAATCTCTGACCCATCATGGAAATCTACTGGGTGACCTAGGGCATACTCAGTTTTAGAGGAAGGCAGTGGCAAGCCCCCTTGGCAAGAAATCTTGCCAAAAAACCTCTGTGATAGGGTTGCCTTAGGGTTGCAATAACTCCAAAATGACTTCTGCAAGTTGGGAAGTGGGTAGGCTAATTTCTCATGAGTGTTTTTTGGTTGTCTTTCAATGGTTTATCTGTTTATTTAAATAAATAAAAAGGAAAGAAGGCAGGGCTTTTCTGAAAGACAGCTGCTTGCTGGTACTGATCTTCCTTTTGCAAGGTCATTATGCTATCCAAGGAGAGTGTTGGCTGTTTTACTAGATCTCTCTGTTAATTATTACAGGATGGCTGGTGAGACTCACTAGGGTTTGATAGTGCTTTGTAGAAGCCTAGATGTGCCCTCCCTCCCTCCCTCTCTTATCTTGAATCTAAAGGCTGCCGTTTAGGTTGTTTGGGCTAACCGGATCTTTTGGGCATGTAGCTTTGCAATTTATTATTTTTTAAAAAGCACCCTTTAGTTCATAGTCACAAATCAAGACATCTAAAAATATGTCAGAGTTGTAAATGTTAGTTCATTTTATATATTGCTTCCATTGGTTACAATAGAAATTTAGTGTGCTCCAGATGTGCTTTACTCCACATCAAATTGTGTTCCTCATGGTTTTCCATTCTCCCTCTTTAGTTTAAATGTAAATTGACTTTCCCCCAACAAATTTTCAAATAAAAATCTGCGGTGTATATATGTATTAGATTGTATAATGAATTTCATTGCTTTTTATTGTATAGACTTTCCCCTGTCCTACTCCCTTGCTGCCTAAATCTATCTCTCTCTTTCTCTCTATTTTTCACACACACTCACACATGGTATAGGTATATAATTCACATAAGCTTTCCAGGCAATCCTATATCATGTAGAACTTTTCAGCCTTTTTGTGAGATCACCTCCCTATTTATTGTTGTATTCAGATGTGCCCTGAGGCTGCCTGTTGACTTCTGGTGACACCATGAATTTCTTACAGTTTTCTTAGGGTAGGAATACTCAGAGGTGGTTGATAGTTCTTTTGTCTGAAATACAGCCTACAGCACCTGATATGCATTGGTGGTCTCCCATCCAAGTAGTAACCAGGGCTGACCTTGCGTATCTTCCAAGATCAGATGAAATTTACTGCCTTTAGGGTATTTAGGTTACTTGGAGGTTAATTTCCTTTTTCAGTGAACCAATCCGCTGGGGTTTGGTTCCAGGATTCCCTGTAGATACCAAAATTTGTGGGTGGTCAAGTCCCATTAAATACAGTGGCATAGTAAAATGGTGTATGTGAAGTAAAATGGCAAAATCAAGG